CTGATCCAAGGAAGAATAATTTAAGGCACTGGAGCCTGCACTGGAAACACAAGTGAGACCAAAACAGGGAGTGATCTGGAATCTGAACGCTGCCCTCCTCAAGTCACAGTGCCCATGCCAAATACTGCTAACGTAAAACTAATTTTCAATCAAAACCAAAAGCTTTATGACGCCACCAGCCACCACGCCAGAGCAGTGGTAGAAACACTGTTCAGGGAGACGGTGTGACACCGTTGGGGGAGGAGTAAGAAACTTCTGTTTTTAATTTAGATGAGAGAGCTCCTACAATTCACCACCCACCTTTTATGTTGATTCTTAGGAAAAAAACAGACATCGTAACAGCAGCTGGTTAGGTGGCTGGTTGAGGGGGCACAGCCCAGAATTTACCAGTATTTGGCTGGAGGCGTGTATAACGTCCTACCCTGGTCATACCGCATTTAGCCCTGACAGTCTTTGCAGAAAGTGTCACATGTGCTACCATCAATCAAACCTGCAGGCCTGTGTAGCACCCTTGGAAAATCATAAGATACATAGACTGCAAATGAATTTGTGGAGTCTGCAGGGATGGCATGCAGGATTACACACACAGGGAGCTGTGTAAGAGGAAAACACACGGGCAAAATCACTTTAGCATGAACAGTGCTACCCTCTAGCAGCACACTTTGAAACCTCAGATGTTTTTGCTTCATTTCTACCTCCTGATTCTACAGGCTTTTGGCACAGTCACTACTCCTCCTAGCTAGACATGCCCTATTCTCTTTCTGAGAACTCAAATACCATTATTTGGTATGCACCGTGATTCTTTACACATTCTAGGAGTTTTTATGAAGCGCACATTGACAATTTGAAAAAGCTGTCAGTGGCTTTTTGGGCTAAAAGTGTTCACTTTTTCATGAATCTGAGCCATAAAAAGTCATGCTGCATTAGCTACAACCCCTATTAAGTTACAACAAGCATTTTTTAAATATAACATCTAAGCATATTTATGTTAATGTTAATCCATTTGTTGGTTGTCTGGTTATGCACTGTATTATATTTTCTTATTCTCATAAATAAACACCCAGGCACAGATTGTGTAATATGTCAATTTGTGTATTTCCAGTGCAGACACAACAGTGCAAAACGACAATAACATTTTTTGGGAGATAACCCAAGTCGTCACTCACCACTTTGGCTGAAAACACTGAGATAATAACATATGAATGAGTCCCATTAAATTCAGTCAAATCTTGATTCCTGTTTACCACCATACACTTTCTGTGGACACAAGGTAATCGAATCAAAGTAGATGATGGTTATATATCAAACAGGTTTCTGACAGACTGCATTGCCTGCTAACAACACACACCCACCACATCCGTTTCTCTGCAGTCCTGATCATAAGATAACATGCCTATTTTTTTTTGCATGTGAGTCTCAACAGGTGAGAGGAAACCAATAACGGAGAATGAATATATTAAGAAAAAAAATTGCAACCGCTGATTACCTAGTTCTTTGGGCATTTGCCACTGTTTACCACATGCCCTACTGTGAGTGAGTGAGTGAGAGAGTGAAAGTGAGAGTGAGAGTGAGTGAGAGAGAGAGAGGAAGATGAAGTCTAATTCTAATCATGTCTTCACACAGTACCCAAAACACTGCACAAAGAAGAGTCACGCAACAAGTCAGGTAACAAGATCCAGCAACACTGTACTGTTGAGTGAATTATTTTAGCCTGTTAAAAAATTGGGAGCTTCATTTATAGTTTAGCTGCCCAGAAAGTAAATGTCAGACAGTTCCTCCGCCCCTTGTCTTCTATCAAAACCTGCTTATGCAGACTCCCTTTACACCACTTCGGCTTCTGAGGAGAGATTACTGATTGCCACTTTTACACAGCTTGTTCAAGGCGGGAATGTTGCACCTTTATTCTGCCTCTGTATAAAAGGTACAATCACAGAATGCGGGGCATTGTTCTGCCTTTATGCAGCACACAAGGTAGTCACAGAAACGAATCGAAGACTGTGTAAAAAGTACGAGCACGGCATGGAGGGACAGATGCCGACAATGTCTGGTTTAGTGTAAACAAGCAAAAGAAGCATATTGAAGAGTCTTCTTCACGGCAATACAGCGGGATTTCTGTGAAACAAGATATTGTTTGGTTTGCTTGATGGATGATGGCAGGCAAAGCACTAAACTATCGGCTCGGAGGGAACACGGGTCCTGATGCAACCTTTCTAAAAATACTTTCCAAAATATGAGTTACAGCTACTCTGCTGGATGTTTCCTCTCTGTTACTATGATGAAAACTATTGACTTGGCTTTAAGTAATAGCAAATACCTGATTAACACCTGCGGCGACCTTTTGCAATTCCAGACACGCCAATCACAAAGAGAGAAGATGCTTCATGTGTTTCACTTTCATTCTCACTCACTAAATGACCTGATCAGTGGTGGGAAGATTCAAGTACATTTCAGGTACTACCTTTGTCTTGCCTCCCCGACACCCAAAAAACCAAAGTAAAAAAAAGAAAGTGAGTTTTTGTTTATTATGGTGACTGTATTATATCATGGTATTACAAAATTAAAAGGGACACTCAACTAAAATCATGATTCTACCTCTTTTCACTCAACTGGCAATGTACTGTAAGAGCAGGGTTTCCGCCAATGTGGTCCAAGGCCGGGCTTAAGTTGAGCCCCCGCTAGGTATTGGGGAACTTGGGTGACTCGGTTAGAAATGTAGATATAATGATTGAAAAGCTCACCAGAAATAATATAATAAAGTATCAAAGCGCTCAGTCGACAGAGAAAAGCACACAGCCTGTATTCAGAAACTGAGCCTTAAAACCAGCCGTCAGGACTTCTGGAACTTTGCGATGTCACAACAAAGCAGTCACCACTCTCAGCCACGCCCCAAGCCCCGCCGGATTTGGTTTCTCTGAGTGTTTACCTGAAATCTGATGTATTTTTAATAGCTCACTCATAACACAGTCAGCCAATCAGAAGAGTAGCTCAGAGCATCCTCTCTTCTGATTGGTTCACTGACCTGTTGTCACTAGAGCTCCAGAGAGAAGCCTGAGAGATGTAAAACTACATTGAGATGGTTTTTGGTTCTTAAAACCACAAATATATCTTCTAATGGATCAAAACTTAAAAAAAAAAAAACACAGTAAAGTGTAAAATATGGGACCTTTAAAATGTTTCATTGACCTCATCCTCAGTATTGCCATAAGAACAAGAACAGCCACCACCGCAGAAACAGAAATAACCTATTTTGGAATCGAAACGTAGATTTTCGACAAACACAACAGACTTTATAAAAGAAGAGATAGATGAAAAGCCTGTCAACACCATGATGGAGCCGGCAAAACATATCAACAACATCCACGCCCAGGCTAAGATAGTGTGATAATAGTAACTAAACGTCTTATTTTTCAGTCCAAACACACTTTCTGACAAGGCCTCAGTTTAAGCTCCAGTTTGTTTAGTGGGCATTGCGTGACGATGTTACGTCACATCTCATGAAGGCATGGAAATCAACATCAGCGGCTGCTCTGCTGCACCCAAGATGCACCTCGCTCTGTTTTCACTCCTGGGCCTTCACGCTCCAACAAGGAACAAAATGTCACACCTATGATCAATAGGACCAGTACAGGCTCATGAAAAGAGAGAAATAAAAAAACAGGTCATGGTTATTTAGTTACAAGAGTTGCCTTTTTCTCTGTGTCCTGTTTCCTTACTTCTCTATTATACATAATCAGTGTGTGAAATCAAACCCAGTCAAAAGCAGGCTGTGGCTGTTACGATGCCGTCTATGACTTGGAGGTCTTCTTCTAAAAACACGAAGGTGGTTGGCACATGATTGTCAGACTCTCTGGCCACTCAGGCTGATCAACTACATAAAAAATGTTCAATTCAATTCAAACATATTACAGCCACGTTAATATCTGTTGCATCTACTGTGCCATGGTACAGGTCTGTCATGCTGATGGTGATGTAGGACCTGAAACTTAAATTTGTATTCCACCAATGTGAGGAAGTTCCAACGCAACAGATGTAACATGCAAAACATAAACAAAACCAGAAGCAGAAGAGTTTCATTCTTAAAATTCATACACGGTTTGAATAGAAAGTTAGATCTGACAATGACATAACACTCAGTCCTGACATAAAATTAAAATGGTTGAGGGTTAAAACACAATACAGCCAAAAGCTTATTTGCATTGTGATCCTCGTTACATATGAGGGAGGGGACATTGAGAAAATCTTCAACTTTGGTAAGACAGGTTAAAACAGGCAAAACAAACCTACTAGTACTAGTTAGTTACTCATTGAAATGCTGAAGTTACTGGTAACTACTGCTGAGTTTGCTGACATTTGGATGTATGTGTTTAAAAATACTGGCCACTTAACATCTGCTGCAGCCACACAGCAAGCATGAGTATGTAGTGCCAAATATCCAACCAAATAGTATGTTCAAGTCCATTTCACTGTTAAACTCCGTAATTCAGTCTTGGTAAGAGCATCAACTGCGTGCCTATGAACTTAATGTAATGCAGGTCCACTGTATGTCTGTGTATACAAGCTTAACCGAACAATGGGAAATTTGTCTGAAAGAAAAAAAAATGAGCTTGTAAAAATAAATAAACATATGAGCCTGTAAGAACAAATACTTATTTTGCAACCAAGTCCTAAATTTCCTCCACGACTTTACACAAATTTAACCGTACAGCTGCTGCATGATAGCATAGGAGTATACCACATCACACAAATTAATCATGATTAATTCAGAAAATAATTCATGAAGTTTGTGCTCCCAAAACTTTCCATGAAGGTAATAAAGTAACTATAATATTATTCTTATGTATGTGTATGGTCCTTTAATCTGTCACTTTTAGAAATAAAAGACAAGGTCAAATATAATTTCAGTTTTAGCTTTAGAACCTTTTACATTTGTCATGATATTTCACACATTTCTAATACACTTCCAAAAACAGGATCAACATGTCTGTGTATGTAAAACTCACCAAATGAGAGTTCTCTTTTGCCTCTTGTACTTGCTGCACCTGTGGTTCAGCTACAACTTTCGTGTCCTGGTCAGAAGTCATGAGCCGTCTGCTTCTTGGCTCCTCAGGGAGAAGTCTCTGCGTCACCAAGTAAGCTATGGGGGACCAGAGGAGACAAACAAGTTTGGGTGTTTATCACATAACTGCAGCGTAATATGAGTTGTAACACGTGTAAGATGAAAAGTGTCTGATAATGACTTTGTACACAGAATAATGTATGGTGCAGATGTAGATATTTCATTCAAAACCTGCTCATTCTCATACAGCAGATTTGTTTTTAACCTTGTACGGTCAAGGCATTTTGGTTCATTTTTACCAAGTTTATTTGCAATGTGTCTTTGTTTAGCACTTTTTAAACTGTCCTTACGCATCACACATCCTTTTTTTTTAGCACAAACTAAGCATTAAGTCTGACTACTTCATTAATTTAACAAAGTATAAAGCTGTGACAAACCCAAAAATGCAAGAAAATTTACATGCCTTTAAAACTGTACAAATCTTCTGTGATAAGACACTAAATATATTATTATAGAACTGTTTTGTGTATTGTTTCACAATATACACATACATACAGCAGGAAAATGTAAGAAATGAAACTATAACAGTCAATTTACATGAAGGGTGATTTAATTCGAACTGGTTTTGTATCTATACTGCAATGGATGAAAGCCCAACATCAGCACCATCAACTGGTTTTCTCAGGTTGTTGCTACATGACATAAATGTAACTATAAAACCTCCAACTGTTTATACTATATATATATATAGTATTATATATTATATATTATATTTTATGAGAAATACATTTACTCATTGGTCAGCCAAATGCTGGGTATTAGTCAATCAGCAACTGTTGGAAGTTTCCTTAGAATTCGTTGCTCTTTCAAAATGATTTGGTGTGAACAAGCAGTGCTGTGAACGTGACGCCTTTGTCTGTAGATTAACTGACTTTTCAGGCACATTTAGCAACTTTTTTTTTTTTTTTTTTTTTTTTTTAGCAAAATCTAGCAACTGTTTGGACAAACCATTGCTACTTTCCATAAACTTTCTCGCTGAGTGATCATTTTACAGTAAATATAACCAAAATCACAGCTCAGCGTTTGCCTTTAACTGATGTGTTTGTTGATTTTGTCAGACAACTTTATGGTTATAAAATCAGGATTTTAGCAGCAGCTTGGAAGCGACTGCTGGTTAACATGTAGTCTTAATGGGCTGCGTTTAAGTCACTGTTCCAAACTTGTTCCGTTGTCTGACAACAGAAACAGAAAAACATGGCAGTGAGAACAGCTTTAATGTGAACTCAGCTGCATGAAAATACTGTATATGTGAGCACAGAGAGTAGGAGAGAAGCACACAGATAAAGGGCTCAAATCAGCTGACACTAGGCAGGATGCTAAGCCTACGACCCTGTCCAGCCATATACTATTCTTATTTAATGGAAAAATGCAATTTTCAGCCACTTAAATGTAAAGATTTCCTGCTTTTCCCTGTTTTATATCAGATTGAACTATCTTTGAGGTTTGGGCTGTTGGTGAGACAAAACAAGACGTTTGAGGAAATTTTCTGACATTTTATAAACTGAATGATTAATAGAGATAATAACTGAAAGATGAACTGATAATGAAAATAATAATTAGCTGCAGCCCTACTCTCTACAGTGACATTTTTCTGCACTGGTGTGTGGATCAGGTTTTCACCATCATTATTTCATCCCTAAGGCTGCAGTTTCAGCACCAGCAGTCCCACTGGTTGGTTACTTCCACTACATCTGACCTCAACGTTACACATTTACAGAGAAAAAAGGGGAGGAGGGGGACACTACCCAGTCCAAACATCACTGGAAACACCTTCGTTACTGTCCTGTTGGAGCGGTTTGTAAAGCAGTGATAATCCACCCCAACAATCGGGTGCCTGTTTCTGACACAGGCCTTCGCTGTGTTTGCATACAAAGCAGAAAAAGAATGGCATGGCTGTAAAGCTGGTGACCTTTGATCCACATACTGATTCCCATACATGGCGTGTGTGTGTGTGTGTGTGTGTGTGTGTGTGTGTGTGTGTGTGTGTGTGTGTGTGTGTGTGTTGCCACTGTGATGAATGGGGCTAAACACAACTCTCCATCAATTCTACCCAGTTATCAAAACAGCTGTTGTGTGATAAACTGCTCCGAACAGTAGACTCAAAACCTGTTTGCTGTTTGTGTGTTTTTTCAGCCACACCCATGGCACAGCGAATAGCATGAATACCAGGCTTAAGTGACATTAAATTACAGCAACCACATCAGGGCTGCAACTAACAATTATTTTCAATACTGATTCATCTGCCAATTAGTTTTTTGATTTACAATTTTTTCGCTGAGCTGAACATAACATCCTCAAATACTTTTTGTTTGACAAAAAGCCCCAAAACTCCCAAATGTTCAGTTTACAGTATGATGAAGAACAGCAGCAAATCTTCTCTTTTGGGAGGCTAAAATATTCAAAATAAATAAACACAAATAATCTATTATTTTTGTTTGAAAAAAGACAAACCATCAATTATAAAAAAAGGTTGTCTATTATTTAGGTCGGCAACTATTTGTCATTCAACAGCCACTTTTTCAAAATAAAAAAAAACCCAAACTCTAACTGAGCAGCTGATCCAAACTTCTTCCTACAGATCTTTCTCTGCTGCAAATCCTAACACCTTGCCTTGTGTTTCGGAAACTGTAACACTACTGCCATGTAAGAGAACCATCAGGTGTAATCTCGATGGTCACTTTCCATTTTTTTTAAACTTCAAGTGGGATTAAATCCTGCTAAATGAGTCAAAGAAAATCCTACAGCCATTTATATGATATGACTTTTGTATTTATAACTAACTGAAAATGGCCAAATTCATTCCCTTTGATTTGAAAGGCCAATATTTTGGAGACCAATGACTTAAACCAGAGTACAACATTATTACATTACTGCTGGGCAATAAATTGATCTTAATAAATATAACAGGACATAAAAAATTGCCACAATAACAATGATGAACTGATGAGCAATATCTGATAAATGTATATTGTTGTGCGTTTGGGTTAACCCTCATCTGCACAATCAACCTATTAGACTACAGCAATAATGTTACATAGCTGACGAGTGGAGGGGAAAAACAAAGCAAAACAAACAACAAACAAAACATACAATGCTGAAACTTAAAAATGAGAGTCAAACATCTGCACAAGATAAGGAAACTGGACATTGCAAGATGTGTAGGCAACCTGTGCTGATGAAGACCGGACACACAACAAAAATGTTCCTCTGTTTGAAAACGTTATGTTACAATCCGATGGCTTGTGAATAAGCATCTTGTGGTAACGTTACTTCAAACTGCAAGAAACGTTTTAAGTCATTACACCATGTGATGAGAGTTTAGAAAGTACATGTTTTAGTAGAGAAGAATTTTTATCTTATGTGGTACATTAAACTAAATACATGTCAGTAGCAGTGTACAATAGCCAAATGCTATTTACGTAAAAGCACTGTTGTAATTGTCTTGTTGAGACATAAATGTTTCACCATGTTGGTTGTTGATTAAGAAGTAAATTATAATTTAGAACCATAACAAACCTTTAATTTCCGTATTTAGGTTTCAATCCCAAGCCAAATAGAGCCCTTGAAAAGGTGCCCTGTAGAGTATCCTTGATGTCTAACAAACATGTTGAGTGTGTATCCTTCCTCATTAATTGTATTAAATGTCAATATCAATCAAGATGGAAAAAAACGTGATCATATTTTGGCCCAGCCCTACATTAGATTCCTACAACACTGTAGTTGTTAAACTGAGACAACACCTTTCACAAACACATAGTCTCATTTGCTGCATGGTAAGTGTTGAAAAAAGAAGTGTACTGTAAGTTAAGTTTGTGTAATACAGGGTCATACATGACTCCTGACAAGGTTTGCAATGCAGTTTAACCCGGTACGTCCCATAAAAAGGCTGACCCCGGTCACAGTACATGCCATTTCCGCTACACATGCCCCGAGTCGATCATAACGTCTAGACAAGGACTGAACCAAAACACACGCCTTGTTTCCACCCCTGCATAATCACGAGAAGTGATTTACAACCCAAATGCTACTCTGTTGTTCCAAAATAACCCCGAGGTTCAACCCCACCGGTGAAAAATGCAACAGTGGGCCAGCGAGTTTATTTTTAGTGGTGGGTAACCGATGGTGGAGACTGGTCATCAAGCATATTGCAAGTCTATGTGGGAGGGTTGAACCAGTGTTTATCGCCATCTCGACCAGCTATGGCAGTCTGTTTGGATCCACTTTACCAGTCAAACACTGCAACTTCTACTAAAGACGCAATGCAGGCGTATTTAGTAGCTGACACAGCCGAGGAAGACTGCAGCTCACACATGCCATGCCCATGCCAAGGGCCATATGTGGGCTTACTGAGAGCGAAGTATAGTAGCTAATAAATCAGCAGTAAAGGGGAGCCGCAGAAACAGCATTACGTTGTGTTACAAAGTTGTCATGGGCTAGAGAGTAGCAGCCATGTCTGGTTAGCTGGCTTGCAGCAGCATCCAGTGAAAGATGGCGACCTCCGGCGTGATTTCGCGGATTCCCCAACCCCCCTCCTTCCCCTTAACGTTTTCAATCATGCTAATATCGAGTTAGCAAGATAGCTAGCCGAACCTGGCTTCACAGCGCAGCGACATGACAGCGTCTATTCGTGTGTTTGTTGCTTACTCACCTGTCACCTCTCACTGCGGGGCAATGCAAATACTTTGGTGGCGGCAGTGGCAGCTGGTGGTGGCGCTGGACTGAGGCCTTGAACTGGCTTCCAGGCTAAATACGCAGGGTATTAGCTAGCAGGCTATATCGAGCACGCTAGCTAGGAACAACCGGCTTACCGCTAAACCTCACCGCAAATAGTCTTCAGATTTGAGTGGAAACAACTACAGCCAGTTGCAGCGCGATGACAAAAAGTCGCCCCCCAAAAAATGTTTGCAAAGAAAAAAAAACAAAACGGGCTCCCCCCGACCAGCACTGCAAGCTAGCTAAGACTTAGCTAGGTGGCTAGCTAGCTAGCTTGCCTATCAACTTTGTGCAGTCGGGCTCGATAAATCTGGCGCCTGGGATTTCAAAACGAAGTCCTCACGGTCGGCAGCAGGCTCTACGGGAGGGGGGAGTCAAAAAAGCAAACCAAGAAGCCCTGGCTGAAACCGAGGAATAAACGTTGCTCGCCCCAAAGGTTCCGATCGATCAAACACTCGTTAGCGCTAAAGACGAGAGGAGGTTTCGGAATGGAGAAGTCGCCGTTTCCTTTCCCTTTCGTGTGCAGCACAAAGATCGTCTATAGCTTGGTGATGAATCACTCAAGAAAAAAATAAATAAATAATACCTTTCATACAGGTTAGTGCCATTCACTCAGCAAAATATATTTTTGTTAATATTCTAAATATGTATATTTACTTCATGTTATTGTGTACAATTTCATTTTTCATAATTTCCCTTTTGTTTTCATGGCTAAATAAATGTTCAGATGTTCAACTTTGTACACGACTTGATGAATATGGCCAAAAATGAATGGCAAAAAATTCTGCTCAGGGCAGAAAAGAAGTGATGAAGAGAAATAATGTATATAAAAATAAATAAATTTTTCAAGACATTCAGGTGCACCAGAAATCATTTCTGTTTTACTATATACAGTAGGCTACTTCTGTTTACAGCTGGATTCATGTGACTGCCATGAGCATATAGGCCTATGTTTGACAGCCCTTTGCAAATTGCCATTAGGTTTCAATGAACAATGACGTAAATTATACATAAGTGTAATGATATGTAAAATGATAGTTGGAAGTGTGATGGAATTGTTCTTTCTTTGGGTCTTTAGTTAAGAGTTATAAGTCGGTCCTAAAAACAGTAATTCACTGTCTGTCTCCAGGTAGCCAAACTATATCAGTCCCCAACGGCAGTTGCCATAGCGATCAAGGTTGTAATGATATCATGGACTGAGAATCCAGTTTAAGGGGGAGCTACACAAGAACCCTTCAGCTCAGAGACAAACTGTCTTCCCTTGAGATTCCTTATACAGCGTGATTTAGGTGAAGCTAATTAATTGTTTCCCATGAGATTTCCATCACAGTAAACAGATTTAAGCATTTTAAGTGTTTAAATATTTTGAAACAACTATAACTTGTTATGTGAAGCATCTATAACTAGTGTATAATTTTGTAAGTGGGCCTTGAGTTATGATTTTGTTTTGTTTCTATTCTTTTGGTAAAACTACTATTTTTGTGGTCGAGAGTGAAACCTCAAGCTCATGAGTTTTGAGTTTGAACACAAAAAGTTTTAAACCCTCCTGTGAGTGATTTTTACATGTGAACAAACATCTATTAAATGTTTTATAATACATTAGCTATAAGGATTTGTTCATTTCTGTAATTATATATAATTAAATATGATTACATCTCGATTATACTGTTTTATCAACATGGATGGATTATGAGACAATTGGCCCCTGGGCAATTACATAAATGGCCCCCCATCCCTCCACATGAGACACAAAGCAACTACACTTTGTAGAAGTTTTGTGTCTTTGTGGTTGTTTTGAATTTTTTGTGGTCATTCTTTTTCTTTTTGTGGTTGTTTTGCCTCTCCTTATAATCAATTTTTTTTTTGCATCTTTGCGGTTGTTGAACATTTTACATCTCATTGTTTGTCATTTGTTCATTTTGCATCTCTTTCTGGTCATCATGTGTCTCTTTTTGACCATGTCTCTTGTGTCTATTTGCACCTTTAGTGTCTCATCACCTTTTGTTTGGCATCTTTTTATTGTTGTTTTGTGTATGTCTTCAGTGAAAATTGTACTGATGAGGTCCCATGCCCTGTAGACATGTTTGGTAATCCATCCATGATCATCAATCATTCATTAACTGTTTATAGCTACACCAGTTAATAATGCTTCACAGGAAGCATATATTAAAAATCATAAATATCCTTATAACTGTGTTATTAAAAAAATGTGTTTATAACTTGCTTATAAAAATGGGCTGGATGCAGGAGAAGTAAAGACGCACTGCTGTCAGCTCAGCGGAGTGAGACCTCGTCCTGTTTTTTCTCTCTCTGGTGCAGCACTGAACCTAGAGCTGTCACATAGGGCCCGAGCTCCCGCCCATTCTCCCCCTCCCCCTCTCTCGCACTCACAGCGGGCAGTCCTGATTGGTCGAGACTGGTAGTGGGCGCACGCGGACCCACTCGTGATCAGGAGGAGTGGGTGTGGCCTAGAGAAATCGTCGCCCGCTGATTGGCTGTTTCTTCACCACCGCTGATCACAACAAATATGGAACAGGGTTTTTTGTTTTTGTTTTTTTTTATGTTTCTTGTCTTGTTAAGTTGTTTTTTTGTTGAGTTTTGTTTACTTGTTGTTTTTATTTGTTTTTTAACAACAGTATTCAGGAAGTATAACAAAAAATCCTGGCAACAATTACTTTGAGTAAAACAACAAAAATACACTGGAAAATTATAATAAAGACAATGAATAATAATGGTGACTAAAAAAGAGAAAAAAGAAAAAAGGTTAGAGATGTGATTTGATGCTGTCAAGAAAAACTATAATCTGGTGTTACTATTTCTATTGTATATTTTTCTTCTTCTTTCAATTTCTACTCCTCTGGACAAACTTTTTTACTTTTTACTTCATTATATTTACCAGACACCTATAGTTAGGCTATTAGCTATTTTTCAGATTTAGATTTTACATTAAAAAGATACATGATAATCCTATAAATGACAATGCATTCAAACCAGTGATTCAGGCCCCTTGTCATGTTCCAGACATCAATGAATTATTATCACTTCCACTACAAAAGAGTAATTTCCTCTATAATTTTCAGATAGTTGAATATCAATAACTGATTGAGGCCTAATGAAGTCAAACTCTTTAATATTTCACAAAAAATACACAGATTACAGAAATATTCTAAAAATAAACACAAATGTTTGCATCAGGATTTTTTTTCCTCTTTCCTTTCCCATTAATCATCTCACAAGCCCTCAGATAGGTTGGGAGCCACAGAAGTAAACTAATAAAGCAGTTAAAACTATCTGCATCTTTTTTCAGTTCATCTCCATTAATTTAAAATTCAATTGTGTAAAACAAAATCAAAGAATTGGTGTTTATGTAATACATATATACAGGTCATGCTGTTCTGGTACTGGGGAAATCCTCTGCAAGGAAAAAAAAAGTTAAAATGTTAAAAACATTGTTGTTTGACCTTATTATACAGATAGAAAAATACAGTATAAAGAGAGAAATTGTTTGAATTCTTTAAACTGCTACATCTTTGTCTGATTTCACATCTTTTTTCACATCTGGACCAAATCAAACCATGTCCAGATCAAAAACCACTTCACTTACACTTGTGGAAGCAGGACTAGATTATTCCAGACGGGCTAAAGAGTCTTTAAACACAGTTTCGGATTTGTGAGACCGTTATTCTGTGTGTGAAAATGCATTTCTTTTTTCACATCTAAACCACATCAGACCATGGCCAGAAAAAAAAACTCCCTCGCCCGATCTGGACTCCAGGGGGCGATGAGCAGAAAATTTCGCTTAAGTGATTTTTGCGTCATTTCCGGGTGAAACGGAACCCCGAGCTTTCCTTTCCCCGTGCCGTCAGCGGACCTCAACGTGTCGCGACAAAATGGCACTTTATAATTTCAAGAAGATTATGGTGGTTCCCACCGCCAAGGTGAGTTTTTTTTCGTGTGTATTGTGTTTTAAACCGCTGTTGTTTTTCTTGCTTCGTTATCCCGGTTTGAGAAGCAGTAGAAGATAGAAAAAACATGGTGGGATTCTGTTGGGGAGGAAAACACGTGTTGTGCTGATGTACAGAGACAGCAGCAGGTTTCCGTCCAAATATGTCAATCTACTTTAAGCAATTAAAACTTTCCATATTGGAAAAACAGAGAGAAACCGGCTAACTGTATTTTGAGTCTGTTAAGTCTTCCTGCGTGAACAAACAAAGCGACAAAAAGGCTTTTCTTCTGACATAGTTGACAAGTTGAAGTTTAAGACTCCCGTTTCTCCTGTAATGACACATGATTATTCAATGCGGAGTAAATGTCACACATCTAGCAGCACATATTAAACCAAACTGTAGACTCGTGTTTGTCACCTGTTACTCCCAGTAACGGTGTCAGTCAGTCCATTTAAATACCGTGTTGCGGTGGGAACCAAGCCATAAAATGCGGGCTCTATGTCACGAAGAAGAGCTGCTGTCTGTATCACTAATATGCCGAATTGACACGAAGATATTGGTCATTTTTTTGACAGAATATGAAATGTTGTTATAAGGTTTTTCTGTTGTCCTTTACAAGCCATTGTGTATTAAAATGAAAGATTTGTTAATGAAAGATTGGCAGTCCTTTCTAAAAAGACAGTTTACATGAGACTTTTCTGGGGGAAAAGGATGAGAAATGTTCCATAGTAGTTCCAGTGTGTGTTGCAGTTTTGATAAACAACAAGTTCCAGTAACAAGACAGTAAAGTTTGCAGTGATTCAAAGACTTAATCAAGTATTATTACTTGAGGCGAAAGAAGTTCAATTGTAGACAGTCAAGGACAAACTATATTAGAGATGACGCAAATAAATTAAAGTTGCACAAACATTTTTAGGATAAAAAAATATAGAATCCAAAGGTTTGCTGAAAATATAAAAAGGCTATACAGTTATTTATCTGACATGCTTACTCTTCCTCTCCCTGCAGGATTTCATCGACATCACTTTATCCAAAACACAAAGGAAGACACCCACAGTGGTACACAAGCATTACCAGATCCACCGTATCCGACACTTCTACATGCGCAAGGTGAAGTTTACCCAGCAGAACTATCATGACCGCCTCACCCAGATCCTCACCGACTTCCCCAAGCTCGACGTAAGTCAGAATACTTTGTAACATCTCAAACATCATTTTAAATAACTATTATAAAACTGAACTCATTGAAGATTGAACTT